ACACCGTCTGCGGTTGTTTGGTTATGTCAATCGAAGTGGAAACAGTGCCATAACTTCTCTTGCAGATGCTGAAGTACCTGGCACACGTCCCAAAGGCCGTCCAAAGAAGTCCTGGTCGCAAACAATCGAGCAAGACATGAAAACTCTAAATTCAAATAAAATGGATACAACTGATCGTCTAATTTGGCGCAAAAAGTTGATGGCAAAGAAAACAACGTCCTACCTCGGGAAACCGGGTCTCTGGACGCAAAACGAAGATTGATTGATTGATTGATAAAAAAATGTGTGATAGTTGTTGATGCTTTGCGAGGTACTTTTCTTGCAGTTTCCGAAAGATGGGAATTGCATCAATTGTTGATTTCCCTCTAGGAAATCAAATTGATAATTTCCGATTGTGATGCACGACGTTAATTTTTTCTCAATGATTTCTCGACAATTTTCAGAGAGTGTTTTAAGAGACGTATACCCGATATGATGAACAGTTCAATGGATCACCTTTGCCTTTATTATTATTTAGTTAAATATTAATTGTTTGTTTTTATCTATGCTATTCACAATTATAGTTTTTAGTTGTTGCGGCACGCTTGTGTGCATTGTATTATCGGCTGCTGGGCGTTATTTAGTGATCATTTTTTGTATATGTAATATGTTCATTTTTTAAAGGGTGGCACCTGTTACTGCGGGTTGGATATTGATCTCATGCATGACGGGGATCACCCAGAAGACTGTCAAACACATTTTCCCGTCTATTCTGGTGGGCAACATTTAAAAAAATTTATTGTTCACATATTTTTCATATATTACAAAGTTGAAATATGTTCTTTAGAGTTATATTGGATATAAATTCAACATGATATTCCTTATCGATGTTATTTATGTTGCTGAAATACGCCATTTTCAGGCAGGAGGGTGTTTTCAGTACCACTGGTGGGATGCTTCAAAGATACTAACTTAGAGGCAATGTCAAATTCACCCATCAACTTGATAAAGGAATTAGCATACGGGTCCTGCTTTTTGTACTGCAAGAAACTTTACGCCAAATATTTTGCTATAAAGGTTGACTCCTACAACGACTTTTTTTTATAGACCTAAAACCATTTTTCAGTCATTGTTTTTTTTCTTTGTGTTGATGGGTGATGCGTTCTACTACTAACAAACATTCCCACCACATGCACACACATACATTAGCACAACCATACGTTGTTTTTACACATGGTTGTTTACACACGCAACAACAGGACACCAAGTGTTTGTGTGTTTACGCGTCCAACGTGAGTGGGCAGGTTCCAATAAGCGAATGCGTGATAACTTGTTCGGATGACATTAAAAAATCATGTGGTGCCAGCAATCGCTATTCGCTCTACAGTCGTAAGCTCTGTTCTGTTGGAGTTATTAGTTTCAAACAGTTTTGAAGTATTTGTATACTCATTATTGTTGCTATTATTGTTATTATAATTATTATATTGTTAGTAGTAGAAATAGTAATAGCAAGAGCGTCTATGTTGGAGGCAAAAATCTCCCCGTTGTTTTAAAATTATTTAGATATTCAATCGAAAGTGTGAACACAACTCATTGACGTATCTAACGATGTTTTTTTGATAACAACAGATCGGTGGTCCCAGATTATATGATTGATCTTTTTGTAATGAGAAGGTAAGCAAGTAATGAGAAACATTTAACTAACTTTATTTTTTAACAAACAAGAGAAATAATAATATTGAAACAAACATTTCATTTCAAATATACAATAAACGTGCCATTTCCGTGACGGTATGTTACACGGGGATAGATATCATTAAGTAACTTTAACTATAGTTAGTTATATATATTGTATAGATGACTAAATTTGTATAGATGACTTAAAAATAATGCACGACACCTTCCACATTGGTAACGTACTTTCCTTTCTGCATGCACCCACCCATAGACCCTTCCTCAATCATCCGAGTTCTGACATCAACATACTGAGGGTATACAAAGCTTTGAGTGTGCACAAAAACCACAAAACCTCCCTTTTAAGACCAAATTTCTATGACATTTCTAAAGTCGTTAGTAGGGAGTACTACTGTACAAAATAATAAAAAGTGTTTCTACGAAAAATTATTATAACATATTTCTGAAATATAATTAATGAAATTATTTCCACGATAATAAGAATGTGTAAAACGCAAAAAAGTATAAGGGTATATTATAATGAGAAAAAGACG